AGGGTAGATCAATTTCACAAGGACTGCAATTGCTGCTATCCTATTGTGAATCCAAAGAAAGAAATAAGAGCAATAACATGAATGATAAGCCTATATTTATTCCTCAGTATCATTTTCGGCTTTTCGCTCAGACCCCTTTGGATTCCCCCATATACACATACGTGAAGGGTTGTAAAATAATTACAGCTTCCCCATCTTAGAAAATTGCCCTGGATTTTAAATATGCAAAGATTTTAAATAATTATTCATAATCTAAACCTTATTTTTAGATTATAGGAAATAAGTTAGCGAGGAAAACAGATATTAATGAGGAATACAATTCTTGTATTCCTAAAAACTCATCACTAGAATAAAATGATAAAGAAAAGACTAAAAATGTATTCATCACCCTTTGGTGGGGGTTTCCCTTCTCAATTGAATGTCTCTTCCTCCCCCAACGTTTTTCTTCCAAAAAGACTACCTCCAGAAAAAAATGATCTGCCCATGAGGTCGCATTGCCTTTAAAAAGGCTTCTCGACCTATCTTTAAATCTGGCAACCCCATAAGGACAAGCGCCAGAACGGCAGCACATGCAAGATAGAAAAAAATATTCACTGCATGGTAGCGAACCAAGTCCCACCAGCACAGGGGCCGCTGGCGTTCCCGGAGTTTCCTTGGTAGCACCATATAGTACAACCCACACCATACCGCTAAGGATGCGATCGCCACCATCCATGGGAATGCGATATAGATCGGCATCGCCTCGGTGAAGTAATTCCCCTCGATCGCCATCTTCATGATCCAGATGGTCTCCAGGACGATGCCAAGTATCGCTACCCACCCCGCCGTGCCGATGCGCTGAACGGAGGGATTGGAGATGTGTTCATAGAACTCACGTATCGCCGGAGTTGCCACGAACGTCCATAGGGCCAATCGTCCAATCACTAATGGGTGTTTGGGGGGCATGTTCAGAATTGCTTTCATTGTGAAACAATTCAACTCCTGGGTCAGCATGAGAATCAGCACCGCAGTCACCTGAAAAAGGCGCTTGGGTTTCTCGAAGATATTCCAGGCGCCGCTCTCGAGGCTACGCGAACCAAGCTGCCCAATTAAACGCCGAGTCTTGCTTTTACTGCCCTTGATCATCTTCATAGGGATCCATTTATACTCCTTTGCTTTAAGTTTGCGGAGAAGCCAAATGCCTACCATTGTCCCGCCACCATTGCATAAGATTACATCCAGAATTAGGTGATCCCACCAGCACTCCCTGAAATTAGGCAAGATGTGCTGAAGACTCAGCTCGGCCACTTCAAAGGCAACAGAAAGGCACGTGACTAAGCGCCAATCGCGCAGCATAAAGGTTTTGATTATATACCCCAAAGTGTGAGCAATGATAAAAGCATCCAAATTCTCTAAAAACAGGTACGGTTTCTCCTCTGTATAAATCCGGCAGTCCGTAGCATACGCACGTTCAGGAATAGCCTGAAGTAACTTTGGATCGTAGTAGCCAAACAATCGTTGTACAGTCTTTAAGTCAATGAAGAGAATGAAAATCATGAAGGTGAAGTACAAAATGCCGCAGGCAAGTACTGCACGCCATACAGCGGGATGGGGCCGGACCATGAGAGAGTTCGGCAAGTTAACCGTGCCGAACCCGATAAACGTAAACGCTGCAGCGAATAGACCCAACTTGACCTCCGATACAACGCTCATGTCATAATAGATATAATAATACCGAATTAAAAGCAATATGCATACAATAATAGATACGAAGCATAGGACGATGCGAGGTGCATAAACGGACTCAGTAAAGCAAAATTCACGGGACCAAGGGCTAGCGACCTTCGGATCATTGTGTCGGTCTCTAAGAGGATTAATCATTGCCTTCTTATCGCAGTCATCAGGAAGCATATCCTGTGAAGAGTTTCTAGTGTACTTTCGTTTACTTGAAAGGCTAACTTGATTACCTAGTTTTTTATTCGGGTTCGACAAGGCTTTTAGTGAGTCTGAGGAAGAACTGGATGACAACACCTTTTGCACACCATCAGTTTGTACTGGACACGATTCCGTAGAAGTTCCCACTGGTAGGGGACTTTGCTTTGACTTCGGTTGTTGATTGCCATAACCATGGTGTTTGTCATTATTGTTGTTTATCCGTTTAGAGTGACGCGTCATTTCTCAGAAATAATGATCAAAAGGTAAAAATACAAACTTGACTACCTTTGGGTTTCTGAGAAAGGTAGAAAAATACCAAATAAAGAGAACAATTAACCAATCGCAATGGAAATCAAAAGTGTAAACAAGAGGACAGCGCGGAACTCATAGCATAGAGTAAGACATAAATACACAAAGGTTATTTCAGAGTAATCAAAATAACTTATGGATTCTCAAGATTTCAAAAAAAAAAGTTGCCAAATTTGACTGTATTTATGTAATATATATATGCATCATATATAGATAGATATATAAATGGATATTGGTGCATATCACTCGAGTCCTCTTCAAGAAGCATTCACACACACCTGTAGGTACGGCAGCAGCTCTGTTGCACGCAACCCACGTGACCCGCGCCCAAGAATCGCTAAATCCGCTGATACACTGTGCGCCAGCGCACCCGCACAGGCTACATTAAATATCCCGGAGCATCCCGTTGGAGGCATATGTGCGGCTACGCCAACTAGGACACCGGTGAGGACGTCCCCCATGCCACCTGTCGCCATACCAGCGTTGCCGGCATCAACAATAGCGCAATGCTGTGGGGAAAATAGGATTTCACCCTGCTGAGCATCACCGGAAGCTGTATCACCCTCGCGGTGGTTGTAGATAACGCTACCAGGACCCTTCAGTACACACACACCGCCAAGTAAATTTGCCAGCCGTCGCGCGGCATCAAAGCGGTCACGCTCGACGTCGGCTACAGCACACCCTAACAGACGCGCTGCCTCACCCACATGCGGCGTGATAATGCTGTGAGGCAGGCGCAGTGGAGAGCTCCGTTGGGAGAGGTACGAAGGAAGAAGATTAAGGGCATCCGCGTCCAATACCACGGTCTTTCCGGGATGCTCTACAGCGTGTTGAAGCACTGCTGCAAGTGCGGCTCTGCCAAAGGTGCCTTGTCCAAGCCCGGGACCTACGGCCACGGTATCAGCCCAGTCCAGGGCCCCACGCACGCTGGCCTCGATCTTGCCCGCGCCTGCGGCTGTGTCCAGGCCCACGCACATCGCCTCTGGGCATCGCACTAGTAAAGCCCCCACGTGCTCCTTCGCGAGCAAAACCCGCATAAGGCCAGCTCCGACGGAGAGGGCGCTCTCCGCAGCCATCACCGCGGCCCCACCAAATCCGCTCTCGCCGCCCACCAAAACAACCCTACCATGGGAACCCTTATGCGATGAATGAGTCCGAGGCGTGCCAAAGTACCGTGGTAGGCTATCCGCAGAAAGCCGGAGGCATAAAGCCGAGAGGCGCCGCTCTGGGTCATTTAGCCATGCCCCGAGACCGAGCGAGTCGTAGTGTAACTGACCGACATAATCCCGTGCCCGACCTGTTAAGAGGCCGGGCTTCACACAGATAAACGTCACGGTATGATGGGCTCTGAAGCAGGTACCCGAAAACTCACCAGTCTCAGCGTTTAGACCGGATGGTACATCGATTGAGACCCGCGCAACGGGCAACGCATTCACACGTTCAATCAATTGCGCATAAAGACCCCGAGGGGCACCCGTTATGCCAGTGCCCAGAAGGCCATCCACAATGAGATCCACACCCTCAGGTACTTGAAGATTTGCAGGAACCTCGTGCACCGCGCCACCAGCGTTTACCCAAGCCTTCATGGCATTGTTCGCTTCCAATGGCAAGGGTTTCTGGTGCGGCATGGCCCACACCGTCACTACGGCGCCCATAGTCGCTGCGGCGTGCGCTACGATGTAGCCATCCCCGCCATTGTTTCCTTGGCCGGCGAGGATGAGCCAGTGCTTTCGGTCCTTGTAGTGCGTCTTAAAAACATCAAAGGCAGCGGTACCGGCTCGCACCATGAGCTGCGAGAGATCAATACCCAGGCTAGACGCCGCACCCGGCTCCGCGTCCCGCAACCATTTCGCTCTCCATACTAGGTCTGTCAACGTTTGGTCCACGCTTGACTTGGTCATGCAGCGGGAAATTAACTTGTTCATCGCTTAGCAAAAATGCAAGAGAGTTTTTTGTGATTGGTTACACCGTCTAATGCTGTTTTACCCACAAAATAATGATCTCTAGGTATATATATCAATAGGCGCTGATAATAAAAGGATACGCTAGAATTAAGAATTTTGATCCTACAGAATAGAATTTCTCAATGTTTTTCAAAGAGCACAACCTTGTACCTTCTGCCCAAAGGTAAAGTCGAAACAAGAAAAACGCTAAACGATACTATTTTTTGTTAGTGGTGAGATGGAAAAAAAGACTCAGAAAAAGGGATGATAAAAGGTTAAAATAATCAGAAAAGTAATTCATAGATTGAAACGCTATGTCTGCTTTAATTAAGCAACATTGTTTCCCAAATGTCGTCGCCGTGGTTAACTGTTTTCTCTTGTCCCTTCCCTAATATAAAAGGAATGCAGTCATCTTTTTAGTTTATGCTCAACACTGCAGGAAATCAGAAAGAAAATGAAGGGAATCGAAATATTGCACTGTAGGAAAGCAAAATCATCCCTTTCAGGACTTTGATCACGCCATCTCAAAGACAATGTATAAAGATAACTCTTCTCGGTAAATTTTACCGTTTTTTTGGACGAATCCGATATAAATCCACACCAAATTCAACGTTCCTTCCCTTCAAAAAGAGAGAAGGAAAAATTCTACTTCCTTGACCATTTCCAGGAGAGGATACTTTTTTTTTTAGGGAGGGGAAAGTTATTGTGACAAAATCCAAAAGAAGATCGCCCCACGAGTCCGCTAAAAATCTAGCCCCAGGGCCTGTTCCAGGTCATCATTACCATCATCCGCCCCACGAAGCCGCTTTCGCGGCACGTTACCAATGCTGGGAAGGGTTGGTGCTCGGCTCAGTGGCAGGGGCGGCCCAGCCTCTGTCGTAGGGGTCTCGCCGCCCAATAGTCCCCCTTCTCGGTCAGCCGTTGGGTGATCTCCGCCCCCAGTGCCTGATCCATTCAGTGGCTTCACCGGAGATGGTTCCCCCTGCGGCAGAGCAGGGGGCTCGCTGCGACGCTCGGCCGCCAGACCGCCCAGTGAAGGGCCGTTGGAGCCTGTAGTAACAGGCGCTCCCCCTGCCGCCGCGTCCTCTGGTGTCTGCTGCTCCAAGAGCCCTTCGTCTCGTCGCACGAACTCCGGAATGTGAGGGAAATCGATCGCCTTAATCACTGGAAGCCGTGTGACGCCCTCGGAGTATTGTTTCAGCTGCTTCACTACCGTATGGAATGTAAGAATAGAAGGCGCCAAGTCGATTTTCGTGCTCACCACAGACGTCTCGACCGTCATGCCTATGAAATAGTGCGCTGTGAAAAGCGTTGAGAGATGGTTGCCGGTGCTGTCCTGTGATTCTTTTCCACCTGTGGATCCGGAGCTGGGGCGCTGTGCTGCCGCAGTGCTAGGTGTGGTGTTCCGTGTAGTACTGCTGGACATCTTTTTACAAAGTCGTTGTCGTAACAAAACTAACTCTGGGTCTTCGTATCGACGAGGATTGAGGTACAGTCGGAGCTGCTTGTAGTCTTCAAGGGTATGACCGCGTGAGCTTGCGTTACCGGCCCAAAGAATACGCATCCTCGACTCCACACCATCTACATAGGCCTGGTAAAGTTCTGCATTGCTACATGAAACCTGGACGTGCAAATAGTGTTTGTACTGACCGAAAAACTTGGCGGGTTCAAGCAGTTTTGACCACACACCATATGTACCAAAGGTGCTCTTCGCCTCACCGGGACTCATGCTCAGGCTACTACTTACAATCTCATATCCTCGCTTGAATTCCGCGCATAACTGCCGCAAGTTTGTCAGAGTAACGTTATAACAGGCATTGCCATAGGGTAAAGCAGGGGTAAGAACAGGAAACAGGGCCATGGCATCCGAGTTTGACTCTCGAGGATCCCAACAGCGACCGAGGTGTGTTTTGCCACGCATCGATGCTGTGAGGTAAATGGCACGATTCCCGGTACCAATTTCGTGTGGGTTTGGTTTAAACCACGTGTGGTACGCACGAAAGAAGCGTGATACCATGCCTGCGGCATTCTGTTTTGGGTAGCATTGACAAACAAAGGCCGTTAATATAGCCCAACCGATGCCTGAAGGAAAGCCAAAGGTGTTGCTGTAAATAAGTCGAGACTTTCCCCAAGCTTTGACGAATCGCAGAGTCTGACGAAAGACAGCTTTGTTGGGGACGAGATCCATAATGTTGTGCGCTACACGCACGGCATTACAACTAAGAACAGATTGCTCATCTAATCCTTGTAGAAGATCATCCGTGATTACCTCTGGCACACGATCTTGGCGTATACAACCGAAAGAAAGGTCGATATCGATACCATCGCATACCATTGCGATGATCGGCACACGGGCATCACGAATACAGCGCAGCTCCGTCACCCACCGCTCGTTCTTGAATCTAGGGGCCAGAGTATCAAAGAAATGCTCTCGCGTAATACGGTTTGGCGCAATAAGCACCATGTCAATATCGCTGCCAGATGTGTGGACGTTGTAACGATACGAACCTGTGGCAAAGATACGTCCCTCAACCTCTGCGGCGGCTGCCTCAGGCATACGGAACTCCGTGATCATGAGGATACGAATCCACACTCGCACAATGTTGTGGATTCGCTCCAAAACGGAGCGACGACGGTTTGACTCCTCCTCAGGCTCGATGCAGGCGGCACACAACTCCTCTAATAATAGATTATGGTCTATTTCGTCCTGCTTAGGCCCGTCTGCTGAGACGATTTTCCTGGATAAAAGACTCTTATCGCTTATTGACATTTAATTGATATATTCAGAATGTAAAATTTTGCTGTTTCTAATTATTTGAGGAGGGTTGAGTGGAAATATGCGTTGCAATAAGGGGAAAACTTTAATCGTTTTAAAGTATTAAAGAAAGCCACAGTTGTATATCTGATGTACTATGCCCTTAAGCTATATAGAGTTACCTTTTAAGATCTTTAAAAGGGAAGTTTTTGTAACAATGAAATATAGGGAAAAATAAAACAATTAAAGAATTCACTATAACAAGTATTTATTCAACAGACTAATAGAAAAAACTCCACTCTCAAAAGACATTCAGTGTCTCTGAGTAATTCTTCATATTGGTTCAATCATTAGAAAAGATATCATCTTCTTTCCCTGATACATATGACAGACAATTGAAATTAACGATCCAGTAGTACGTTCAGTGTGGAAGGTTGCATTGTCAACCTTAGCAGCCCTTCCGCAATGGCCTTGTCTACTTTCGGATCCCGCTTCGCGAAAGAGCGCGATAAATCGGACACCGGAGCGCCACCAAATCTGCAGGGTTCGCTTTCTTCAGAGTACTCGGTAAGGTCGGCTATGCTTGTTCGGTTAGCCATGACGGCCAAAGACAAACGATCGATCAGAGAGTAAACCAGACGGTCATAGAATGCATGTGTTTGATGAATCAGACAATGCAAAGAGCCGCCATCACGCACGGTGATACCCGCGGCATCCTCCTCTGATACCTCGACGGAGAAGTTGTTTTTGTGGAGTGTTGGTCTTTCACTTTGCAGGCTAGGGACGTCCTCAAGACCACACTTTGTAGCATCGTGCACTGAATGAATTGACCTCAGAGGGGCAGAGGCCGCATCACCTGATAGGGTGGCCAACGCGATCGTTGACCCTTGAAAACCTGCATAGGTTTCCGACAATGCGGTTCCTGGCGTCGAAGATGAAACAGTGGGCAGCGTGGTTGAACGCTTCTGATGTGGAGTTTGAGAAACATGTAGATTTTGAAGAGTAGCATTGAACCCATTACATACATCTTTTGGTGATGTGCTATTCACACCCGCCATATAACTCTCCGCTGAGGGAATTAACCCGCACACAACAACCGGCTGCGGTCCAAGAGTTGGCTCAACCCCCATCATCACATCCGCAGCCTGTACCAGTGTCACTTTGCGGCAGGGATTGTAACATAGCCCAATAACATGGCACTGACTGCAGATGAATCGACGCAGAGCCTCGTACCGTTCATTGCCGCTCAGGTCGTAGATCTCCATGTTCACACCAACTTTGGACTCGCTGCTCATCCATAAGGTCACTTTGTACCGCGTGAAACCCATCGTCGAGTGGACTGTGCTCCCTTGTTTATTTTCCTTTAAGAAGGCACGCAGACTGGTAGTCTTCCCGACGCCTGAAGGCCCAATAAGGGCTACTCTAATGGGACTTGATAATAGCACGCGGGAGGCCACTGAAAACCATGCCAGACCTTCACATCGTGCCATTTCTTGTCGTCTTGCAAAATCCAGGAACTGGGTGTAGTTGTATCGCGCGTGGTGAGAGATCACACGCTTGAATGCTTCACCCTGTGTTAAGGCTGTAGCATCCTCAAGAACAGGAACCCTTGGATAATTTACCGATCCCTCCACAACGCTCGCGGTGCCACCATCAAGTGCTATAGTTAGTGTTGATGACGATGGTGATGAGGCCACTCTATAGTAACTGTCATGGGCGGATAACCAATACTGATTCCGGCTTGCCAATGAGCCAGAGTTCGCCGCGGCAACGGTCAGCATGTGATTTGTATCTCCAGTGAATGAAAAATGTGGATTTTCCGTCTCCTTGAGCCACCGCGCAGTATTGTACTGGTACCATATTACGTTTTCCCTTGACATGAAGTAGAACTCCGACGATATGAGCGCTGTCTCGAGCAAATCACGCAGAGGGAGAAAGCTTAAAATGTTTACTAAAAGAACTCGCTGAAACAACTTCATCTGACCACGACATTTCCGACGCAGTCTGCCGTCCTCCCCCCGCGTCGAAATGACAAGTTGAGTCTCATAGAAGCATTCATTACACACACGGTATATTACCACTTTGGAGGTCTTCGGTAGTGAAGTGCTAAGGGGGCCCGCATTGTCCCCGATGACAGCGCACGACGAGGTGGGTTCGAGATTTGTAGAAATCGAAGCGGCATTACACACGGAAGCGTGGGCTGCAATACAGTTCATAGATCCTGTTGATGCAAATTGCGTTGAATGTGTGAATACCATTGGCAGAGTACCATCTATTTCACTCAACACATAGGAATGGTTCCTGGGATGATGAAAGCCATTACTAGCCAACGGGTCAGATCCTTTCATGTTTTCACTGGCATTGCGGCTGTGGCTTGGGCAGGGGGATCCGTCTTTGAGGACTCCAACCTCGTTGGTACAGCATGAAGAGCAAAAAACCCTTCCGCAGAGCTTGCAGTGTTCCTTATGAGTAAAAATGGAAAAGGACATTTTGCAATCAGGAGCCATACAATTAACGACGTGCGCATCAGGTACCCATTGATCTGGGGGACACCAGCGCACGCTGGCTGGATCCAGTGTCGGCTTAGCAAGTGATGTAGTATCCCCTGTGTGAGGATGAGCACTGTTGGAGAAAATCGATTCAAGACTAAGAAGCTGCGGCAGATTCAATGTATTTCGCGTCACAAGGCTCGAATATTGCGCCGCGGAGGTGTTCAACGTTTTAGTAGGACGTCGGATGATGCTCTGTAAACCATATTTATCCGTAGTATTCGTTTCAATAACCTGTCCCAGTGATAAAGAAGAAGTGGGGGCTTCAGTCGTCGTTTGAAGAAAAACACCGGTCGATCGCATATCTTCTTCTGTCCTAACGGTATAAGAAGAGATCGTGATATCACCAGCCGAATCGACCCCGCCGGACACAACATCACTAGTATGAACCCCTTTCAACATTGAAGAAGTATTTGAAATCATTCTAGGTATGCGTATCTCAATGTCAGAAGAATTAGGCATGGAGGGCTCATCCTCGCAGTGATTCATGATGCAAACAATAGAAGCATCCCTTTTGTCGGAACTCATTGGATAAGTATAAAGCTACTACCCCTATTATGAATGTCAAACAAAGTACAAACTATAAATAACTTCCTTACCTATATTAAGGTGTTTATAATTGACTTATTTTCATTGAGACACAAACAAAGATCGCTTACGCGTACAACTAGAAAAATAGAAATAAGTGTTTCAATTTTGTCCAAAGAAGAAATACCATAAAATAAAAAAGATAGAATTTTTTTGAAAATTTTCAATAACAACTTAAAAGGATATGTCTAGAAGCACTAAGGAGAAAGTAAAAAGATAATGAAGAGATAAGGAAAAAATGTTATACACTATTAGCATCAGTTCTTCAAGTGGACGTTATACTCAATTATATATCCCTTCCCTTTCTTTGGGTATTTATACTGATGAAAAATTCAGAGATAGACGCGTATTTGTATTAATAATATTTAGAGATGAGCTTCTCAGTCAATAGTCAAAAGTAAATTGATGAATAATATAGTTAGTGGTATCAACTTTTTTTTGGATCACTCATTATTGATGAGAAGCTAATAGTGTTTATAACTTTTTTTTCCCGCATAATTGGTTTATTTATTTGTATTCATATTTTTCCGTAATAGCTTTTAAAATATAAATCAAAACTTGCTAGGATCAACTATTTTATTCGTAGAGCTACCTCTCAGTCAATGGCCTCACATTTTTTACACGCTCGATTTAGTTGTGTATATATAATCTTTATAAAGTACATTACTCAAAATAATAAAAACATCTAGCGTGTAACAAGATATTGAGAAGGTATCAGTGTGCTACAACCATAAAATTTATCTGATAAAGTAGAATGATGCCTAGGCAAATGCTTAAAATTATAATAAAATTGAGAGATATCTATTGATACTCTCTTACATAATTCGCTTCAGACCATCTAAGCCCAAGCAGGGTAGCCGTACTTTGCGGAAGCACCGAGCTCCTCCTCGATACGAAGCAGCTGGTTCATCTTAGAGGTGCGCTCGCTGCGACAAGGCGCACCGGTCTTGATTTGGCCAGTTCCCAAACCCACAGAAAGATCAGCGATATAGGTATCCTCCGTCTCGCCACTGCGGTGAGACACCATCACGGACCATCCATTATCCATGCACATGCGGGCAGCAGCAATCGACTCCGACAGGGTTCCGATTTGATTCACCTTCAGCAGAAGGGAGTTGCAGGACTTTTTCTCGATGGCGATCTTGATGCGCTCCACGTTTGTCACCGTCAGGTCATCACCCATAACCTGTGCCTTGCCCTCCAACGCCTTCGTAATCGCCGCGAACTCGTCGAAGTTTTCCTCGTTGTAGGGATCCTCAATTGACTTGATCGGGTAATTGTTCACCCAGTTCTCGTACGTCTTCAGAAGAGACTCACCTGACACATACGTCGGCTCTGCGCTTTTGAACGTCATGTTGTACTGCTTCTTGTCCGCGTCATAGGCCTCGCTGGCAGCGCAATCCATACAGATCGCAAACCTGCCCTTGTGGCCAGCTTTCTCAATGGCTTCCATCAAGATTGGCAGTGGTTCATCAATGTGAGAAATTGGTGGTGCGAAGCCACCCTCGTCACCAACATTAACGGCATCTTGGCCATACTTCTTCTTCAGAATAACCTTCAGCGCATGGTAGACCTCAGAACCCATCTGTAAACCCTCAGAGAACGACTTAGCCTTCACTGGTGCAATCATAAACTCCTGGAATGGAAGCACATTTCCAGCGTGCTTTCCACCGTTAATTACATTGAAGGACGGCACTGGCAGGCGGATCTCCTTTGTACCAGCGAGCTTTGCAATGTACTTGTATAGCGGCATACCAAAACTCGCTGCAGCGGCTTTGCTGATAGCCATGGAGCATCCAAGAATAGCATTGGCTCCAAGCTTGCTCTTGTTCTTGGTGCCATCCATGTCACACATCAACTTGTCAAGTTCCTCCTGTTGCGTCTCGTCCTTGCTGATAAGCGCGGGGGCCAATACCTCATTCACGTTCTTGATGGCCTTCAGGCAGCCCTTACCGCCGTACCGGTTCTTATCCTCATCGCGCAGTTCACAGGCCTCGTGAATACCAGTTGAAGCACCAGAGGGCACCACCGAGCGGAACATACCTTTGTCGGTTGTGACCTCAACCTCCACGGTGGGATTTCCACGGGAGTCCAGGACTTCACGTGCGTGTACTTTCAGAATCGGCATTGTAGATAGTAGTGAGAAAAAAAAGATTAATTATTTTTAATAGATAACTTGAGTAGGCGGAGAAATCTGGTGAAGGAAAAAAGCACACAATAATACAAAGCCAGGCAATGTGACCCAATACCCAAAAAATTAAAATGCATGTTCTCAAAGTGGCACAGCTGAAAAAGGTAACAATATAGTTGTGAACACTTGAAAGGTTAATACTGTCACACGCTACAAATAACAGAAAAATAGATGCCACGATGATTCTTTTTTCATGCTTTGTTCGGCTATCCGTGTGAACACCCCACGACTTCGAGATATCACCCCATGCGAGGCCCCAGAAAAGGATCCCTTCTGATTTTCAGCATAATTATCCAACGAACACCTTTGCTCTTCACTGCTCCTGTGAGCATTAGCAAAGATCGAGGTGCATAACCTCGTAGTAACTCCACACAACCCCTCTTACGCCAAGGCTGACAAGAGACTTCACAGTATCTAAGACTGCTGTCGCCACTCCACGCTACACCATACAATGAATGATACGGAAGCTTAGTATACAATATATAATGACGATGTGCTAAGGTAACAAAGAAAATATAGTGGTGAAAAAAAATCGTGTCGAGTTCTATGAGATTCGGACAGACAACGTCCTCACCGCATGCTACTGTTGCTTTTGCATTTATAAGATATTGGTGTATGTAAATGCAGAAAAAAACGCTGTGTCAGTCGAATGGATACCCAGATTTTCTCCTTTCCCACTGAGGTGAAAGGAAACCACGTAAGTAAAGATCCTTTTCTTGCACGAATCCAAAAAATAGAGCAAGGAGTCAGAAGGAAAAGGTAGAGGAGCTGTAAAATATAAAGAAGTCAAGAGAAGGTTAGTTAAGTCTGAGAGGGAGAAAACTGAAAAGGCAAATCTCAACAGTCGGTAGTGACAACACTCTAAATGCTTACAGTCAATTTTCACGTTCAAAAAAAAAGCAACACAGTTACGTGCAAATTTTTTGAAAAGTGTATATTAGAGTTCAGGAAATCAGAAACACATTTTTAGATTACTCTGCCAAGGTGCATAACTTAATCTTTCCTATAATACCTATGAAAAGGAAGGCAGGCGCTCCCTTCAGTAGGCAAGCTTGTCCCACACATGCGCCCTCATAAGAAAAAGGATTAAAAGTCTACTGGTGTCAGCGCTCAGCGTTATACCTATACACCCATCTATGGATATATATATATATATATATATATGCAGTTTAACTCTCTGTGATATTTTTTTTAAAGGGACACAAAAAGATGAAGGAAAGCACTACAGTTTCAAGAAAACTAAAGAGGTCGGAGAGGAGCATAAACCACTTGGCCACGTTTCGCTTTCCATAAGGTTATGATGATAATCCGATAAAAGTTAAGATAGGGTTTCTTTAATTCAAGTATTTCTTTTTTTAGTCTGAAAAATCTATTTCATCGTCGTCGTGCAGCGAATGGGATAGTAACATACTACTTTGGTCTGCCTCTCGTGGATCCTCTCCACTCTTCATACGTCGCATGTCGAAGCAGGCTTTTTTCCCTAGATGCTTACCATGATTCAACATACGAAGCAGATACGTAACTCTTTCGCCCACTTTCAATCTCTGTGATGAGACATTTGACAAATGAAAGAAAATAGAATCACCTTCAAGGTCGTCTTTTACGAATCCGAAGTTCTCCTCGAGCAAGCGAATGGTGCCAGAAAATCGCGTAGATTCATTCATGGTGCCTATGGGTGCAGATGCTGGAACAATAGGAACACCTACCACGGCGTTCGTGCGCTCAGCTGTTACATCGATAATAGCACAACGTGCCTGCCGTAGCGGTACTGTTGATGACGTGGGTTGCAGTTCACCACTGGTCACAGAAGTGGTGGGACTTAAGTCATCTACACCTTTCCGGCCCATGCTGAGCGTAGGAATGAAGTTTTCTACACCATCATGTTTACCTTCTTCATCGACACAAAACCGAACGTAACGCCCAACTCGCATCTCTGTGCCTGGTGAGATGTCCATCACATCCAATGTAAGCTCAAAACACGGAGCATCTTGGTGGAAGTGGCCATCCGTGTCGAGCTCGCTAATAACCCCACGACCTTCAATAGGATCCCACTTAATGACTTTACCACTCAGAGATGTAGGTGAGATGGAACTCTCCTTGTTAGTTTCAATATCATAGAAACACATTCGCATCGCAAGGTGCAACAGCCGCTCATCATTGTTGAAGTTGTCATCAGGAAGTTCCACCATCGTGGGGGTCACTATAGGTTTACTAACACTCTCGTGCAGCGGCACATAACCGGTGGTCATCGAAGACGCCTCGCCAAAAGAACCCGAACCGGGCATCCGGAACGGCTGCGCGCCTTTGCGTTCCCAAATCTCAAAGGAAACGTTTTCACCCTCATTGACGCGAAACCCACCGGACAACGACGCACGGGTGAAGAAGTATTTGTCCAGGAGTCGGTCCATCGGGAAGGGTAAGCTCACCGGTGGACCCCCAACAAAGCCCTTAGCTGTCACAAAACCGTATCCACGGCGGTTCTTAAATACTGACACAGTGCCGTGCATACGGGGAATACCTTTCACACGTCGAGAAGTAGGCCTCTGAGAATGGGTACTCTGAGCAAGAACCACGCGAGTTAACCATTGGAACCTTAGTGAAGACACCTGAAACATTAGTTTGGGTTGGAGTTAAGCAGAAATCCCGATAACGAAAATACGCAAAACAGAAACTTTTTTATTATACTAAAATAGGATACTTTAATTTTGATAGTTGATTTTTATCTTCTGACAATTAGTTTATCAGTTATATTTTCCTTAGATCTGTAGCAAACACTAAACAGATAACCAAATATCCTCCTCAAATGTATCCCATAGAAAACTTAGTGGGAAAATTTTATAAGTATGGATCTCAATTGTAGGTGATGGTGTTCTTCTTCTAGTGAGGGATTAAACGACAAGGACATATATTTGGATAGTGTAGAAAATAAAAAAGGGAATAAAAAACATAGAGAAACCATAGAAAAAAAACTGAACGTTTTTTTTTTGAATAAAGGTCTGATGTAAGGATTAGCACATCACACATACATGAGTGCATGTATAAATGAGAAAAAAAGGCAATAGAAAATAGATAGTTATCGATGTAAGAAACACACACACATCTCAATAAAGCTATCCACAGTAAACTTCTAAACGATAGAAATCACCAATAGATTTACGAAATATATTATCAATCTGAAATGCAAAAACTCAGAAAAAAAATGTTTTTAATAATGCCATCATTTGCTATATGTGCATACACTGCAGTAATAGGTGAATGCATCCTGTAAACTCAAATGTGACTCGAAAAACATTATTCGTCAAATGACCACAAATGTCAAGCAGATTCAGAGGACACATGAGTACTAATCATGAGAAGTTCTGAGAAGATGTTCTTTGCCATGGCACACACACTTTCTCTCTATAGATTTGCCGATGCGCGTCAGGGCCCCCTCTCACGATGCGCTAGTTCTTCTGATAGCTCAAGCACATACACGTTCCCTGCTGTCACACCCGAGAACAGCCATCGCCCATCGGCTGAAAAAGTCAAAGACGTAACGGCCTCTGTGGTGCCATCCATGGTTGAGGGGATATGTGGTGCATGACTAGCAGAAGGCATCCTCATAGTGGAACTTGAACCGACATCAAGCGATGATCCCAACGCGTTCCTTCCTTTCATTGATAGAACGGCCGCCTCAACACCGGACGGTGACCCGTAGCCAAGTCCGACCGAGGCCTGTTCCAGACGCACAGATAGCAGTGGAGCGGAGAAAGAATAGTAAACATCCCACAAGCTGACCACGCCCTCAGCGTCAGCAGCGGCAAAAATGCCCGGGTGAGTAGGGGACCACCGTAATGCTGTCACCATTGTCACGAAGTCATCTATCACAATGCTAGTGTCCCCCATATAGACTACGCAGCTGCCGTGGGCAAAAGCAACGACGACGCAGTCGTGATCGCGAAAGGAAACGTGAGTGGGTGGAGGTTGTAACGCCATGGCTATTACACGGCCACGATCTCGGACGCTTCTAAATGCCACCGACTCAGATGTGTCCGTAAGAGGCCCTGAAAAGCCTAACGATGGTCCCGTTGAGGAAACCAACGGGACGAAAACTTGAGATCCCCGGGTATCTGATATGCTTTTGTTTCTAGGCACAATTCCACTACTATGTTCCAGCGGCTCCGGGCCAATGTAGCCGTTTACCTTTTTATCCAACTGACAACGATGGAGCTCGATGGTCCTATCGTTACGATTGAAGCCCTCAATTAAGGCGCCGTCAGAAGTCCCTATGTAAACCTTTGTCATGGAGTCGCTGCCACGCTGACCCGCAAAGACAGCGGCAGTCCCAACGTTACCCATGAACACACCACCCTCGAAGTAGGCGCTGCGGGCCACAATAGGTTGCAGGGTCTGCCAGCCTTGCCAGGTGCACACACGTCCTTCTTGACTAATCGAGTAGAGATAATGATTACTTATGTTGCCATGTACTGCTAATGCAAGAACACGGCTTTGATGAAGTTGTGGCGACGGGAAGGACGATGCCGATGGTCGCTGAACGTTACCTACCAGTACCGAGGCTGACCCGGTTGACATCAGGGCTCTAGCGCGAAGTTGCCTCCGATCAAGCCCGAACCATTCTGCCGCAGCAATATTCCACATTACCAGCCCCCCGCTGGTGGTACCTGCAACAAACACCCCCGGTGGGCCGAAGGGATGGGCAATCAGCGTCGTCACCTCCGTATCACACACGAGCGGCGTGAGCACGACAATGTCCTGCGAGCTAACCCCCACTGGTGCGGTGACTTCATCGCTGAATGAGGCCTGAGCGGTAGTGTCCGCGTCACCTGTGTCAGGAATCACAGTCCAGACCAACACGAGCCCAGGCGCCTGATGCACCTGCGTCGACACGGCCTCGAGCGGCGCAAACGTGGGAGAGGCATTGGGCCGCACTGCCGTGGAGAAGGGATGGCCCCATAGATGGCTCGACCTCAGGATCAAGCCCAGATCCCCCATCGGATGGTGGGCGTTCGCTACCACAACGGAAGCCTCACCGGGTGTAGTGGAGACGTCCTGCATAATGGTGGAAACACTTAAAGGTGCGTACGCAGCCGCAACACAGGGGACAAAGTCAGCGAAAGATGCCGATCCTTTCTGGATCGTCGATTTCTGTAGTCCACCAACAGATGCAGTGTTGCAGCCTTTGTAGTGTAGCGTGGTCACAGCGATGTCAACCACCAGCCTGTCCTCATCGCCCAGGCATATTTTCGGCGTCAGTGCACAAACCTCCGTAACCTTAGCGGCGGAAGTCCCATAATCGGAAGACTGCAATCCACACCAGCGGCGGAAACAATCGAAGCATTGAGGGTAACTATAGCTATTTGGTTGTTTTTCCTTTGCTGGGTTTACTTCCAAGGTAAACTGTGAGTCATCTATCACATTACTATGTTCATGATACACCGCCGTTTGAGTGGACCCTCCTTTGGGTATTGAATCCCTGCCCGAGTTGGACCATGCTGGGGCATCGGTCGACAGTGGAGGTTTTTTTTTAGACATTGGTTCCGTGTCGTAGCTAGATTCCACCTTTGTCGGCTTTGGTGGATCCAAGGAATCCAGCGAGGGACCAACAATTTCCTTTGAGGCAGACTCCTCCAGTTCGGAAATTTTGGGATTTGGTGCCGGATCACTGGTCACACTCTTCGCCATCGTGGATGTGGAATATTTTGGGTATGATAAACCTGAGGCATTCGCTGACGCAGAGAAGGAGGAATGTATTGAGGATGGCGGAGGATGTGCCTTAGATATTTTGTATTGATCAACTACACGTTTCTTGGCTTCCCGTGCGGCGCGGATTGCCTCAAGCTTTCGTTTTTTCTCAGCAAGATTCTCCATTGTAGAAGAGCAAAAATTTTGAAAGTTATTAGTTGACAAAAAGATAAGTGACACTATAAACCTGAAAAAAAAACACCCGTCTTACAAGCCTACGAGCACTTCACCTAAGCATCCACAAAAATATTTCTGATGTCCGCCAAGAAGTAAGTCCTGGAGTGAAAATGATAATGATGATAATAATAATAAATGTAAACAATACATCCAGGAGTTCCTCAATTAGTAGAGGAAAATCTATTTGTCGAATAGAAGTGAACATCCAAAATCATTAGAGAATGAAAAGAAAAATGCAACTAAAAGGAACGCAATTTTGTTCATTGCCAGTCTTGCTTCCTTTCAGATATATAGACATATATATATATGTAGAGAAAATAAACAATGATACTTGACACAATTTCAAGACGACACGTAATTCACTTTCCGTTTTCCTTTTTGTGTGTAAAAATTGAAATAGGAGGATCTGAATCACTGTGTCATCACCCTCTTCCTTATTACTCCTCTTACATATTGCAATTGTTGCGAATGCATAAAGAGTAAAATACACATATCCGAAAGGGAGAGGGAGAGGGTGGGGAGGAGGGGGGATTCAAAAAAAAAAAATTATATTTAAAAGTCAGATAAAGTAGGAATAAACATATTGGGTAATAAATATCAAGCAGAAAACTATGCTCTGAATATATAAAATGAAACGATTATTTTAAAGATGCATGCTGATGCCATGCAATAAATTCAGCTCAGTGTATTGTACTACTTAAGAAATCCGACATTCGGGCACTAACGGGGAAACTTTCTAAAATTGACCGCTTTATAGAAGATAAATCAAAAGAAGTGCCGTCCTCGGGTACTGGTGGCAATAATGGTGTTGTCAAATTCGGGCTGCTAGTTGCTTCCGTCAGCCCTGGTGCGTTTGGTAACGAATCTAAAAGATCTGTGGACATCTGAAAACTGGGATCCCCCAGTTGCTGGTCCCTTTCTTGTAAACCATCCGCGTCCCTGTCTCCAGGAAAGAGCAAACGGACCTCGAATTTACCGTTAAGCATCTCCTTGATCTGACGTTCTAGATTTTGCACAGCCACTTCCCGTTGCTGTGCACACTCCTCGAGACGCTCATTAAGCACTTGCAATTCATTCTCCTTAGTCTCAAATTCTTCCTTCGCCATCTCCATATCAGATAGACGTGCCGCCATCATTTCCTCCTGAGTCTCCAGAGACACGGATTCTGTAAAGAAACGTTCAATCAACTCCTCCAACTCCTGTTGTGTGCCTTGAAGATGCCCCGCATGCGTTTTTATCATTTCAACACACTGATAGTAACCTTCATCGGCCTCGTCTACTTTACTCAAGGCCTGTGGTACGTCAAAGGCACAGAGCTTGTCCCCTAGGTGCTCCTGCGTGGGATCGGAATAGCGGTTCGGTCCATCAAAATTTTCATGTTCCCCCTGGGAACTCGCTCGCACACGCAAAGCCTGCGCCAAATCTTCGTTAAGTTTCTCCCGTTGACCATCTGATGGTGGCTCGGATACCCCTCGAGAGGAACGCGTATTCCCACTCGTAGAAACCACCTCGGAATCCTCTTTCAGGTGCCCCCTGCCTGGGGACCGTTTGGCGATCAAAAAGTGGCGAGACATTGCATAATATTCCCTAAATAGGCGCTCCCGCTCCACCACATGCGAAACCAAAATTGCATTCCGTGCTTCGCCTTCCCTGATTTGGAAGACGCACCGCGCTCGGAGTAGCGCGTTCTGATTATCACAATCCTCGAGCTTTTTCACCAACCCGTTGACGTATTGCGACTGCTCTTCTTCGAGTTCCTTAAGCTTGAGGTTCAAGGTGGTGTTGGCCTCCTCCAGAGCAATCCTCTCGGCGGCGCTGCGCTCCGAGTTGAACAGCGCGTCCTCCAGCTTCTCCTTATAGTGCTGGATAAAGCGAACGGCGTTCTCCCGCTCGGTGCGCTCGCGCGCGAGATCCCGCTTGGCCTGCTCGAGGGTCTCCGCCTTCTTCCGCGCGTCCGCGCGGGCGCGCTCGATGTCGTCGAGCAGCTTTTGCTCCCTCAGCGCCTGCTCCTCGCGCAGGCGGGCGTTCTGTTCCTGCATCTCCGCGGCCTGCCGGCGGCTGTCGACGATCTGCTGCTTAAGCAGGTCCGCCTGCTGTTCAAGCTCGGCGCGCTCGGCCTCGGTGGCCTTGAGCATCCGCTCGCGAAGGTTGCTCTCCTCGCGCTCTCGCTCCAGCGTCTGCAGGTCGGCTGCGCGATTGCGGGCCTCGGACTCAATCAGCGCGATCTTCGCCTCGAGCTGGGCTACATAAGTGGGGTCGGCCACCGCGAGGGCCTTGCGCATCTCAGACATCTCATCCTCCAGCTGGCGGATCCGCCGCGCGCGAGGGTCCTCGTTGACCTTCGCCACGTTCACAATATCCCGCGCCCGGGAGGCGTAGCGCAGGGTGCCCAGAGTCTCTTCGTAGTTCAGAGCGCTCGGGCTCACGGCGGCGACCATCATCGTCTTTGAATTACCCCCGAGGGAGTCCTTCAGGATGAAGGTCAGCTTCGAATCGCGGAAGGGGGCCATAGTGTAGCGCGTCTTCTTGCCCCTCGTGGCCATATCCGCCAGGATGTCGATCACCCGCCCGAGAGTCGTTAGCGAGAGATTGATGTGAGTGGCCTCGGTGAAGCGGGCGCCCTCTACCTCCGACTGCGCGACCCGCTCGGAGCCTGCGAGGTCGACGAGGTTCATCCGACTGTTTTTCCCCGCCGTCCGGATCACCGTCTGGTTCTTCGCCGTCATCAGACGCTCCTCCCGGAGGAGGACCATGATGATGGCGTGGCTGCGGCTGCTCCGGTTGTTCATCTTCGTCGAGGCAGTATGCCGGACGATGTTGCCGGCCTCCACGCATTTAATTACGTCGTTAAAACTCCGCGTCGGGACGAGCCGCTGGCCCTCAAGAAAGACCCCGCGGCTGGGGTGCTCGCGGATCTCGACGAAGACCTCCTCGCCTGACTTCGGCCGCTTCGCGAGGAGGTCTGATACGCGTTCGTTGTAGACCTCGACGTAGCCCACATCGACGTCCCAGGTCGATCCGCCGCCCTCCGTAGCCTCCAGTTCCGACTTGCGGATGAAAATCTCCTGGAAGATCCGAGGTGCGACCCCCCGCCCCTCGCTCCCCTCCAACACGGCGACGTCAGCGCCCATCATTGTGTAGGTTTTCCCGCTCCCCGTCTGGCCGTACGCGAAGAGACAGGAGTTGAAGCCGTTAAAGGCGTGGCGGACGAGAGGAATGCCGATTTGGTCGAAGACGTCCGCCTGTGTGGCCATCTTTTCTCCTTTCCCCCCCAGCGACCAGAAAATGCTGTCGAACTGGTAGGTCGTCCGCGAGATCTTCGCGTCTGGGATATCTGCGAAGACTGCGGCCTCGTTTGTGGACGTTTTGGACTTATCAAAAATCGAAAGCCGGTTCTTAGCATTGTCGACACTGAGGCAAATAGGATGTTTGCTGACCCGCTCGCGTTTGTTCAGCGGGCGAACGCGGATCGAGACATGGACCCGTTCGGACTCGGTCACAGCCTCGGAGTCCTTTGAATTTTCCTTCTTCGCGGCACGGGAGGCACTGGGGGGCATGATAAGTCCAAGACTTTCCACTCAATATACCCTGTCACGATAGGTCTGTTACAAATAGAGTTTAACGAATAAAATACGGTATGTACGAAAAAAAGAACAAACAAATACCTTCTTAAAAGCCCGTGGTGGGAAATAAAAAGAGGTGTGAGGATGGAGTTAAGTAGCTCTATAGAAACGTAGCCAATTAAGTGTAACACACTGCAACAACAACAACAACAAATGAACAGTAATTTTTCACTTTATGAAGAACTGTGGAAGGGGGGGGGGGATTTCATTTCATTTTGGATTGGATAAAATAAACAAAGGCACCACAGCCCTACGCAGTTAAATCGCCCTATGAAAAAATCAAAAGAGCACTTGATAAAGGGATGAATGGACTGATTTGTTCTTCAAGAGCAATGGACTCCTAATAGTGTGAATGTATTTCCCTCGGTTACGGAAATGATCATGTGTATAGTATTGTTTCTTTGTTTGTTTTCGTTAAAATTAATGCTACCGGATTATATCCCACTTACAGCTGATTTAGTTCTAAACCATTGGTCATACCACCAACAACAACAAAAAAGCATATGCGCCAAATAATGGAATATAGACATTTATATATTCTTACTATTTTTTGGATATATACTTTTTGCATGTAAGCTTACATTTTTGAGATGATAGAATATCAATCATGTTTTACGTACGCTTTACTCTCTTCTTCTGTGCATAATAAAGAATTTGAAAAATAACAATAAAGTTAAGCAGTGCGGCCATGCTGAACTGGCTCAGAATAATAAACTTCCCCTTCTCCCACGGCACATTCAACATCGTCGTCATCATGCGCGCTACTCCACCTCCAAACGCCAGAAAAAAAGTCAGAAAAGAAAGTTGCCCAGTGGACTTGTTCTTGAAATTCAGAAAAATCTGTGGGACGCGACTGCAGACATTTAAAAGGATAAGACTGCTTAGAAGGCATTCGTGAGCCCCACGCGAGACGTAGCCTTTCGACAGTAGACTAAACAAAATCAAATAAACTGCAAGTACAGCGGATGTGATACGCGTCTTTTTCTGAAAATTCGCCACCATTATGTTAAGAACGACCAATTGGACTAAAATCAACCCATTTTCACCAAAATCTCGAAATGGGAATTTATGGACAATGCCCCAACTTGTGGAAACAACGTACGCAAACAACTCTATGTAATTTGACGTTATTGAGATCCCGGAAGCGCTTCGTCTTCGGTAAATATTCAATATTTGGGGTAATTTTAGAATAGAAGCCCCGAACACCACCGTGTATGAAAGGCAGTGGCCAATCAGGAACTTGGCATTCACAAGGTTATTCATCATGATGAGTTGATCAGTGGGCTTGTTATCATAAGAAATTCATACTACGGAAGCACTGAAGAGTATAATAATGGAAAGCTTGGAGAGGGATGAAAAATGGGGAAGAATTATAATGGGTAAATAAAATAACTCAAAAAGTTTCAAGGAGGAGACAAGAAAATAAAGTTTCCTTTTGCTCATAAAAGCAGCATATCATCATTTTCCCTTCAATCTCCCTTTTCTACACATTATCATTAAGTAACATGGCAAATATAGGAAATTAGAAAAATGGCAAGTTTCATTCTTGTTGTTTATCTTACTGTCATATTTTATTTTGCTCTAAATGACACGATATATATATATATATGTATATATATATATATATAGGTACATGTGGTGTTTGCTATGCATGCTCCAAAAGACTTGTAATTGTAAAAAGACTGAAAATCGAAAGGACTTAATGGTTAATAGCTCAAGTTAGATGAATGCTCCTCATACGCACCCTACCACCAGTGCAGGATACGGCAGGCTATTGGATGACGAGCATCACCTCCGCTGGAAAGAACTCAAGAAGAATGCGCACTACTCATCAAAGTCCAAATATGGATAAGTGCAATCGAAATGTATTTTTATTTTGTTGTGGGGCAACAAATACTCGCATAATGCGCGTCAACCCCTTAGTTTTTATTTAGGCTGAATTTGTAAAAAAAAGGAAAGGGAAAACAAGTGTGCCTCGCCTTTTCGAACAGGACAGCGTGATACACTTGAATAATATTCCTAGCTACGCATCCCAGTTATGTGAGATTACTGAGTTGGTGAAGGTTATTATCGAAGACAGGGAATGAAAATATTAAAATTTTCAAATTTCCCTGTAGTACTCCAATAGCGGCAACCAGAGTGCAGCTTCAAAACGTAAAAAAAGAAAGAGAAAGATATATAAATAATGAAAAGTGACGCAATAAAATGATAACTCTACGGTACACATTTTTAAGATCACGCCGTGTCTAGGAAATGAATACAATGCACCAAATATATTACTTCATTCAGTTTACTCTTCTCATTCTTTAAGAAAGAGTAAAGTCAACACGATTCACACGCTCACGCATCTCTATTTTTTATGATAAAAAAATGTATATAAAAGAAGGAGAAAAGCATATACATACATATATATATATATATATATATATAT